CTGCACAGGGTGATGCGACAGCACGCTTTTGAGGAGAAGGGGGGGACTCTAAACCATCTCTCTCCTTTCCTCATCAATTTTTATCGACAGCGGAATTGTTTGACAGCGGCGGAGCTTGAGCATTTTCCGCCGTTGTCCGTCGACCATCCCGGGAAGTATGTGCGGGAGAATGAGGTCGACACTGATGCAGAGGAGTCACCGACTTCTACCCCATCAAGGCGGAGGGACGAAGGGAGAAACACTCCTGCAGCACGAGTGCCGCGGAAGCGGCGATGGAGAGAAGAGTCCGAAGAGGAGCAGCATCAAGAACCCTCTGCTCCCATTCGACCGCGGCCGTTGTACGAGTCATACAGCCGGCCGAAGCAGAAGGCACGCAGACTGGTGTTACCAGCCAACAGTGCGGACACGGCGACGATTGCGACGGAGAAAGGAAGTGCGTCGCCAGAGAAGCATGAGGAAGCGCGGACGACCGCAGGAGCAACGGACCACGCTGCAGCCTCGACGGGCGAGAGGCCGCCTACGGGCCAAGGGCCTCCGGAGTTACCACGTGCGTTGCGGACAGGTGTTCCGTTTGCGCACAGACGAGACTCCGCGGACGGACGAGCCTCCGCGGACAGACGATCACAAGTGGACGTAGATCTACGCTTACGCGTGGGAAGGAGCAGTCCGCCTGTGCACAGGTCACCTCCACACGTGCCGCCTGTGCACAGGCAGGAATCACCCCCGTTCCAACGTAGGAAGGGGAAGGAGCCGGCGGAAGAGCCGCCTACGAGACACCGGCCCTCGGGGCCAGACCCTCCGGCGCACCACGCGCCGCAATTTGCGCCTTCGGCGCCAGGGCCTTCGAGCCGAGGAGATACGAGCAGGGAGTGTGCGGAGGCCACACTATCGGCGGGTAATCCGCCGGTAGATGCGCCTTCGGCGGTAGGGCCTTAGGGCCAAGGGACATCGGGCGAGCGGCCCCCGGCCATGTCGCCTTTGGCGATGGACGTCCGCGGCGCTACGCCTGCGGCGGACAAGGCGCCGGCATTTGCGCCTACGCACAGGCCAAGCACAGCCCCCGCAGACCGATCAAGGGAGCAGCAACAGACGGAGGAGCGGAGTGACTGTCCGCGGGATGAAATTTCGATGCGCGATGCGCAATCAAACCCCGCGCAGCCACCCTCCGCTCGATTGCCTTCAGCGGCGGGCGTCGGCGGCAGAGAGGACACGGTAGACGACCAACAAGCGAGCGGCGGGGATGCCGCACGGGCACATTCGCCTACCGCCTTAGACATTTTGGCGAAGAGCAGCGAGGCTGCAGCCGTGCCTTCGCAGGCAGCACACGTCGACGACGTGCAGCCCCACTCGGGTCAGTCGCCGACGCAATCAATGGCGACTGAAATTCTCCACTCGGATGATGACGACGGAGGCTCCACCAAAGAAATGTCAGGAGCAGGGGACACCGAGGAGGAGGAGGAGGAAATTGTTGGAGCGCCGGCGGCGGCGCTCTCTGAGCAGGTGATTCCGTTGCTGAGGTACTTGGATCGCAAAGTCGATAAATACGCCGACCCACTTCAGCCGGGATCTTACATCGAGTTAGTGCGCAGGCAGACTCGCACTAAAGTCCACACCAGCAAGCTATTAGCTAGAGTGGACCAGGAGTTGAGGGAATTGAAGGAGAAGCATGAATGCTTGTGGGGTCAGTATAAACTTAATCAGAAATTCTACAAGTACTCCGAGAAGGTGAGGGATGGGAAACTGGAAGAGCTCACCAAGGAGCAGGTGAAGGTCACAGAAGCACTAATTTCTGAGCAGACCCAGAATCGGATTTTGTCAGAGGAGCTCGTGCGACAGACGCGGTTGTTGGAACAGTGTCAGCTCGCACGGCAGGCGGATGAGGAGGTAATCCGCAGGCTATAGTCAGAGTGTGGCGAATTGAGAGCGCAACGTGCTGAGGCCGAATCGCAATTAGTGATAGTTGAAGAGGATCGCAAGAAGGAGGCAGATCGCACAAAGGTGGAGACGGCGAGGCGTGTCGCCCATTGTCTCAAGGGCTACGCCCACTGGGAAGTGAAGGCGCAGGAGAAACTCACACTGCGTGAGTTTGAACTTCGCGCAGCCGGGTTGTTGTCAGGCGACAGTAGGAGTCGGCGGAAGGTAGCAAAGAAGCTCGATGCTTTTCTGTCGAAGGCGCAGGATACCATGTCCGCCCTCGAAGTGGAGGTGTCCGCGGCGTTGCAGCGATTGGGACTGCGCAGTCGAGCGGAAGACTGGCAGGGTAGGGAGTTAGTGCGCGGCAGTCCGCCGCGCAGGAGACGTAGCACAGGTTCCGCGGAGTGTAGTGTAGCGTAGTCCCGTGCAGGCGTGTAGCATAGTGCAGTGTAGTGTTAGGTAGGACTTAGAAGGTATAAAATAGTTCCAGGCGTTTTGCCTGGGGTTCTTTCCCATCAGAAGTGCAGATCAGGAACCCATTTCCTTTGCGTGTTTGTGTCCTTGAGTTCTGTCACCACGCACGAGGAGTTACAACTTAGCGTTCCGCATTTTGTAGCTGAAGGCCTTCGGCCGAATGTTCAGAGCTAGTCCATTGGTTAGAGACTTGAGTAGTTCGGATCTGCACCTGCGGGTGACTGCCGATGCTCAGAGCCAGTGACTAGTTAGATACTTGAACAGTTTCGCCCCTACACCTTCGAGTGTTCCTTTCTGATTGTACTCCCTTGGGATTTTTCCCCTGAATGCCAAAGTGAAGTTTTGCTACTTCGTGTAAGCCTTGGTTGTAAATTCAGGTTACGCTGCAGCAGGTGCTTTGAGGGTAACCCCTGTAGTATTTCTGGGAATGACAAGTGCCTGAGAATTCAAACTCTTCAATAGACTGTTGTTGTGTTACTGGAATGTTTCTCAGTGAGTCCTTCAATGCGGACCTGTGTTCTCTGCGCGTTTTGTGAGTTGAGAGTGTTGTTCACCGCGTAGGAGTGACTTCGATCCGAAGTAGGCAGTCCAAACCGGGTTTCCTACACTAGCAGCAAGCTAGTGGAAGTGTTGTAAAAGCCGGAGTTGGGAGTCACTGCCCGCAGCTTTGCCGAGTGTGCTCGCGAGAGACTTCCCCCCTGAAATCCTGAAGTAGAGGTCCTAACGGATCTCTGGGTTGTGTTTCTGTAGTTTCAGGTGTGTGTGTGTGTGTGTGTGTTACGCTGCACTGTGCGACCTCCGAGTGCGCTCCGAGTGGACACTTGCAGTATTTCTGGGAGTGACAGTTGCCTGAGAATTCAAACTCCTCAATAGTCTGTTAAAACGTGACACTTTGTACCCTGTGTGTTCCTCTGTCCCTGTGGGTTCGACCTTTCTACCACTATATTGCAGTTTTAGCCTTTAGTGGGTTATTACAGGAGCAACTGAGTACGGTGATGTGAAGGAATTTCCAATTTGCCAGCAGCCCAGAACAAAGGGTTACAGGCAGTATACAAAGGAAACTTGGTGAAAGAACTTTGTAAGGTAAGAACAAACGAGAGAATTCAAGTATCAATCGTTGCAAAAGCTCGTATATTCTCTCTCCGCGACTGCTGAAAGGTCAGTTCCCTTGTTCGGTGACGTGTAAGATCTGGGCCCAAGTGCCCAAAGTATGGTCCTAGGCTCGCCTGGGACCATACTTGGGGCGTCTTGGGCCTCCATGTCACAGTCTTCGACAAAAGCAGCCCTGCGACTCCTCAAATGCAGTCCGCACCAGGTGATGGTGAAAAAGGCAGGCATGTCCAAGTCCCGATTTCTGTCCCGGTCAGTCTGCAGATAGGGATGAAGGTCTTTTTGCTCGAAATTCAATCTACCCACAGTCCTTAGGTACTATCATCATTGCTGCTTTCTAAACATTCTCCTTCTCGCAAGTGCAAACCATCCACCTTTTGGTGGACCAAACGCAAAAGCAGGTACATATTCTCCAGGGACAGGCTATTTATTGGGCTCAGATACTATTCATTAAGGAATTGCTTTCAGCTGTGACCAAAAGCATGTGGGGGAAAGATCATTCTAGCAAGCTGAGAATACAGTATTGTTTGCACGAATCAGGTGAAGCGATCTCGCACTAGCATCCTACTTTTAGAAACTGACAAAGAACATCCTGTGACTGCGTGAATGGAAGTACATGAGCCAGAAGTTGACGCTCTTTGTTATTTGTCAGAAATCCTGAGTCGTGGAGACAAGCAGCGAAAGTTGGAAAATAAAAGTTGTTTCAGTGCAACTTTTATTTTCTTGTTAACGATATATTTCATATAATACAGAGATATACTTTTGGAAATATAAGAGGCAGTCGTTGTTGAAATACTTAGAATTTAACTCGAATACAAATAAAGTAAAAACTTTCTAAGAAATTTGAAACTGAAAAAGTTGAATATGATAGATCTATCATATTTTTTTTACGTAAAAGAGAAATTATGGTTATTATATTCATGAGTTAAAATGAAAAAAATATATACACAATTGGATCGCAATGTAAAGCTAAGTCATTGTTAAGTATATTTTGTAAATGGTATGAATAAAATCAAGATGTTTGATAATTAAAATATTATTAAAAAAAATTCTTGATATTAATAATATTAAATTATACTTCTATGATATTCAAAATCTTCACATACCAATGGCTCTAAGTAGAGTACCCAAACAGGAGGAATTTCCTTCACTGCAGTGAAGGAAATTCACTGCAGTTCTTGAGAAGTATGTGGACGAACATAATAACGTCGATACGGTTAACCACGCCGACCTACTGTTCTGCAGCATCCACACTAAAAAACAACGACGGTACTGCGTAGCTGGGTCGGTCAACCTCGTAGAGGAATAATGCGGCCACGTGTCCAAAGGGGGCAGCGATTTACCACAACTCGGCGCCAGCCAATCTCAAAGCAGGAGAGAATGACACCGCTTACCGTCGATCTAAACGATCTGAGCGATCAAAGTGTGAAGCTGTCACACCAATCGAGCCCTGGTCGGAGGCCCGCTCCCGCGCCTTTTTTGAACGCCATTGAAATTCGAGTTCAGGAGCACATAAAGCTCGAGTCTTCCAGATTGTGAATGCCGGTCTTTGGGCTCTGGCGCATTCTGCTCGATTCCTGCCTCCAGATTTTCCTCTGCTTCTCGTGATCCAGCGCACTAGGCACAAAGGCCCGCATCCACAGACTGCCGGAATCGATCGGAGGGAAGGCCCCACGCAAGCAATTGGCGACCAAGGCCGCGCGTAAGTCCGCCCCTGCAACCGGAGGAGTGAAGAAGCCCCACCGATACTGGCCCGGGACTGTCGCGCTTCGGGAGATTAGGAAGTACCAAAAGTCCACCGAGTTGTTGATCCGGAAGCTGCCCTTCCAAAGGCTTGTGAGGGAGATTGCGCAGGATTTTAGAAGGGATTTGCGGTTCCAGAGCAGTGCGCTTTTGGCTCTGCAAGAAGCCGCCGAGGCTTATTTGGTTGGACTGTTTGAGGACACCAACCTGTGTGCGATCCACGCGAAGCGCGTGACCATCGTGCCGAAAGACATCCAGCTTGCCAGGCGCATTCGTGGAGAGCGAGCTTGAGAAGGTCGATGAAGAGCCAAGAATCGGAACTTCCGGGGTTGACGTCTATGCCAGGTCATTGAGAATGATCGACTGTTCTCCAACCCCGACGTGTACATATATACGAACACATCATCTACCACTGTTGCTAGCCATTCAGGCCATCTGCGATTACGAAAATAACCGTCTCCAATCTGATGCACACCGCGGGGTCAAAAGTGTACCCGGGATCAAACAGCTACATACGAAAATTTACCCATGCCATATAACATGAATGCGACTGTGGATCATGACACAAAGAGTTAAAGCGTGCCGTCGCCAGAAGTCAGTTTGAGGAGAACTATACACGAGATGGATCGAAATATCGAACAGTTGAGAAGCGCTTCAAACATCTTCCATCTGACCTAACTCATCGCCGTCGACAGTTCTGGCAGGCTTAGGACCGACGCCCGCGGCACCTCTCTGGTCTGAACAATACCCAACCACTGCTACAACTGAAAGGACGACAGTGACGAAGGCACCTAGAATCACGTACCAGGGAACATTGCGGCCGAGGCTGTCACAAATCAAACTTGCATTGTACGGAACGTACGCGACAAACACAGGGACAGCAATGAGGGCATAGAGGAAAACATTCATTAGTACACTGCATACGATGTCCAATGCGAACTAGACCATTCTGAGGAGTAGAGGCAGCTCGAACATGTTTTCCAGTGAGAGTGCACATCTAGTGTTACAAACGCCAGGTGAAGAACGCCGACGCTAACACATCTTGAACACTGCAGTGTTCAAAATTGCACTTGTTTCATTCATTCACATTATTTTTTTTGAAGTTTCCTGCTGATTGTGCATTGCCTATAGAACTGAAGATGTGTTTAAGCAAGGCTACCAACTGTATAAAAGTAACCTAATCTGATCTTTATTCCTGTCCATTCTACGGCTGTTGTACCCTCATCATTAAGAACAATGACAGAACAATCATTCTGGGATATGTATCAAACTTCAAGGCTGACAACCCAATGGTGAGACTTGCAACAAGCCGAACTTAACACTTTGTCCTCAAAATGTAAATTTTGAGATTAGCCAAAGAGAAATCTTCCTCAGAAACATAACTGCGCGATTGACATGATTGCAAAGATTATGAAAGACTCTTACAAGTGAAAATCTAAGGAAGATTTGCAGACCCTCATATTGCATGAGGGCCTAAACATATACTTGTCAATTGCATAATGACATTCCTACCTCCTTCAAATCCTAAACTGTCACGATTCCTCTTATAAGACCTTTATGCATGCACTCCTCGCACACCCATTGTAATAACCCACCAAAGGCTAAAACTGCAGTATGGTGGTAAAAAGATCGAACCCACAGGGACAAAGGCAACACACAGAGTACAAAGTGTCACGTTTAACAGACTTTTGGAGAGTTTGAATTCTCAGGCGACTGTCACTCCCAGAAATACTGCAGTGCTCGACTCGGAGGCCACTCGGAGGATGCTCGACTCGGAGGATGCTCGGAGGATGCACAGTGCAGCGTAAGTCACTCAACACACACACACACACCTGAAACTGGAAAAGCACAACTCGGAGGTCGGTCAGGACCTCCGCTTAGGATTTCATGGGGAAAGTCTCTCAAAAGTACACTCAGAGGCTCTGCAGGAAGTGACTCCCACTCCGGCTTTTACAACCCTCCCGCTAGTTTCTGCTAGCGTAGGGAACCCGGATTGGACTTCCCACTTCAGAACGAAGTCACTCATACGCGGTGGATGTCACCCTCGACTCACACTAAGCGCAGAGAGTACAGGCCCGACTGAGAACTCAACTGAGACACAATCCAATAACACACACACATAACCTGAATTGATAACCAAGGTTTACACGAAGTAACAAAACTTCAGTTTGGCATTCAGGGGAAACTTCCCGTAGGAGTACAATCAGGATATGTCACTCGAAGGTGTAAGGGGGAACTGTTCAAGTCTCTAACTCGCAACCGCCTCTGAGCATCAGAAATCACCCGCAGGTGCAGATCCGCACTACTCAAGTCTCTAACCGGTATACTAGCTCTGAAAATTTGTGGTACCCCACTTTTGGTAATTTTGAGGAAATTAAAACATTTTTGGAAAACTGTACCACGGCAGCAATGTAAATAGCCTTCGGTGCATCAAAATCGAGTGAATTCGGAAGATCGCAGACATTCTCACGAGAACTCGTAGGATCTAGGAGTAGCGTGCAACGTACGGGACGGGCACCACCCTCCCTGCGAGCTCTGAAGGTATGATCCCTTCGGCGCAAGGCGCAAAATCCGCCTTAGGCGCTGCGCCTTCGGCGCTAGAGGAATCCTTCAGAATTGGGTCAATCCCCAAACGCCTCGACTTGGTTAGGGTCTTGTTAGAAAGAGCTCGACGCGTTGATTCCAACGAGCCCAAGAACGCCAACAACGGATGAGGACTCCGGGTGTTATGAAGGTTGTAAGATACTCAGCTTTCCGCCTGCGCCCAGGCGAAATTCAGTTTTGTCCTACTTTTAATTATTTGTTGATTGAGAGAGAATTGAGTGCGCGTGATGTAGAATTGGGTGAGATTAGAGTTTGCCGAGGGACCAAGGAGCTCGAGCGGAGCAGAGAAAGAATTAGCGAGCAAGCGAATTCCAAGAACGCAATGTCGAGGCTGAACCGATTGCGGATGCTGCCGCTCCGGCTTCCACAGAACGGGTTGCGCGCCTACGAGGAACGGCTGATTGCAAGAAAGCTCGATTTCTTGCTATGGGGATGGAACTACATTTGTGTGGATATGGTGCGCGAGTGGCTGGAGCCACAGGGACCACCTTCGCGCGGATTGCGTCCGCATGTTGATCGGTGGACCGTCCAAGATTGGGCGCAGGCATTGGGAAGGTGTGCCGGCATCCCAGGGCACCTCCTCTTTGATAGTGAGAGCGTCAAGGTGTCTAAGCAGGACGAGGCGCAATTTGTGGAGTTGTTCAAGCGGGAGAGGTCTACCAAGAATGGGTACAAGACCCGCGACTACAAAGATCACTTCCGCCGAACTGTGGCTACGGCGCTGCTGCAATTACTGCAGCCACACCGCGCCTGCTACATCACATTGTGGCAGGTTTCTTTTGTGGAGTGCATCATCGAGGGAGCTCCAATTCACTGGGCGAGCATCCTGCACAGAGTGATGCGGCAGCACGCGTTTGAGGAGAAGGGGGGAACTCTCAATCACCTCTCCCCTTTCTTGATCAACTTTTATCGACAGCGGAATTGTTTGACTGCGGCGGAGCTTGCTCGCTTTCCGCCATTGTCCGTCGACCATCTCGGGAAGTTCGTGCGGGATAACGAGGTCGACACCGACGCAGAGAAGTCACCAGCGTCTACTCCACCAAGGCGGAGGGACGAGGGAAGAAACACCCCCGCAGCAAGAGTGCCGCAGAAGCGTCGATGGAGAGAGGAGTCTGAAGAGGAGCAGCATCGAGAACCCACTGCTCCCATTCGACAGCGGCCATTGCACGAAGTGTGCAGCCGGCCGAAGCAGAAGGCGCGCAGGCTTGTGTTACCAGCCAGCAGCGCAGACACGGCGACGATCGCCACGGAGAAAGGAAGTGCGTCGCCGGGGAGAAACGAGGGAGCGCGGACGTTTGCAGGAGCGACGGACCACGCTGCACCGTCGACGGACGAGAGGCGGCCTTCGGGCCAAGAGCCTCCGGAGTTACCACGTGCGATGCGGACGAGTGTTCCGCCTGCGCACAGGCAAGCTTCGACGGAAAGGCGACCCCAAGCGGACGTGGACCTACGCCTACGCGTAGGCAGAGAAAGTCCGCCTACGCACAGGCGTTCGCCTGTGCACAGGCAGGATTCATGTGGTAACACACTTTTTGTTTTTTTTGCAGAATTTAAACAATTTTAGAAAACAAGTACCGAAGCAGTGTCTGTAGTTAGGAAATGGTACGTTAAATAGAGTGGATTGAGGAGATCGTCACGAGGTCACGAAGAAGCACGAACTTGGACGTACCAGCGCCAAATGCCTTCGGCGCCTTCGGCAAGATCTCCTTTGCTGAGGTGTCTCTACTCACGCGCTTCCAGCGTTTAGGGAAGGTATGCTTCCGGCACAGACACCTCCGGAGGAGATCTCGCTGAAAACGTCAGAGGCCGGCAAGGACCTCTGAAGGCTTCCGACCATGAGTGCGCCTTCGGCGATGCGCCGCTAGCGCGGGAGGGAAACCTTCATAACAATCAGGATTCACGGTAGTTCCAGTTGGTTGAGGTTGCATTGGAAAGAGCTCGGGACGCTCGTTCTAACGAGCCCAAGAGCGCCGGAGATGGATCAGAGACAAAGAAGTTATGAGCGTCGGAAAACTTGCATCCGGACATGCGCTGTTCGCGCTAGGGTTCACCGTCGGAAAGGACTCCCGTACGCCTTCGGCGATGCTCCTTCGGCGGAACCACGCGCTCATGGGAGGAGATCAACTCAGAGGCGGAAGCGCCTTTGGCGGCTGCGCAACGGAAGAGAAGCGCCGGCCGGATGTACGCCTCCGACGTGGCGCGGATAGGCGGATGCGCTCGCATGATTTGCGCCGACTTGATGTGCGCTTCCAGCGAGGCGCCGACGGAGAAGGAATACGCCAGCGGCGATACGCCTCCGGCGATGTTCAGGTTAGGAAAAGATAACCTAGTCGACGCATACGCTCCACTGCGGCGAACTCAAGTCCGGAAGACGGCGGCGAACTCGAGTCCGGAAGACGATAGCGGCGGGAGAATTCAACGTTCACGCATGCGAATGCGCGCAGTGCGGAGACGTGAATTCGAGCATGCGAGGGAGAACCGTTAGGCCGTATAGCCGGCTGCGTAATCAAGTTTGATTGTAACCAGTGAGAACGTTGGGCGATCTTGAATGCGGAGAAGAAAAGACTCCTCTCCAGTCTCATTCTCTCATTCTTGATTGTGAGTTTTCAGCTTCAGAGATTAAGCGCAAGGGCGGAGAGACCTGCAGTGCGAGGAGAAGAGTGCGCGA